AACACACACACACACACACACACACACACACACACACACACACACACACACACACACACACACACACATACACACACACACATACATACAGACACCGTGACAACCTCGCGGGGATAGTCAGGGAAGTTTCCTGTGACCTTCAAACGTCGAGATCTGATGAAAACTCGATTTTTGCAAAACGGGATAAAAACAATAACTTCCCGATTTTTGAAAATCTTCGATTTTGTTAGCGTGAAGTTAAAAATTGTTACAAAAAAAATGAAATTAAAAATTATATATGAAGAAAATTTGAAAAACTATAAGTGCAATTTTTTAAAAATATTCCTTTAGTTCTAATTTAACTTGTGAAAAAATTAAAAAAATTTTTTCAAGATTGCTGATTTCACTATCATGAATGATTCTACTTGTAGAAATTGTTAAAAGTTAGTAATTCATATTTTCAATAATATCTTAATATTAATTAATTGGTTTAAAAAAATATAAAATGGTCAAATATCTAATATATATTGATTGCAATACAATTGAGGATAAAACAGTCAAGTATGATCCAATAATTTTATTTGTCTATATTATGATATATTACATGTAGATTTCACGCTTATACATATTTTTATTATTAATTATAATTGTTATTATGTTTATTATACACTGTACGCATATTTACATGGTTTAAATTTTTATAAATATTATCCCACAGTTATCGATATAGATAAATGAAATTAATAGTAATCCAAAATTGATTAAAATTATCGAACTTTTAGATTTGAAATATAAAACAGGTAAAATTATCAATATTATTTATTATTAATATTATTATTATTTTTATTATTATGTTATTACAATACAAGTATTTTAAATATTTTTACTCATGGCCTGCATAAGTATCGTAAACTTTCATACTTGTGCGATTTCAGTAACACTTGCCCGATAGCTTCAAATCAGCAAGTGAAGTTTTTTAATTTAGATATGTTAATTTTGATTAAAAATCAATTGACTAGAATTTTCAGTGTTAGTTTTGTTAATTTTTATTTAACAAGAATATTTCTGTAAAAAGTTATATATTTTTAAAAATATTAGAAGAGTTTTATTGATTGAGATTCAGAGCCACGTTAAAAATTCTAAAATAAAATTTAAAAACAAACTAGTAAAAAACAATGATAAAAAAATTATTTAATTTTCTTTAACGTTGGCTGACATATTTTAGTTGTAATTTGATATATTTATAATAATAATAATTATTATTATTTTCGTTATTATTATGATATGGACAGCATAGAAATAGTATAACAAAATATATCTGAAGTATACATCATTATAATTATTTATTTTTTTGTTCTTTTAATATTAAAATTGCCAATAAGTTGGCGTTTTATAATTGCTTTGTCGTTATTGTTTGACAATAATAATTAACGATTAAAGTACATATATTTTATTTTTTTTCATTTATGATATTTTTAATCGTCCGCTGCCGTTAAAATTATTGAAACACTTTAAATGTGTGCATGGCCCAAGCCGTGCCTTTATCACGCGATTATACTATTTTTAATTAATAGATTTTATTATTTATTTACATTAATTATTAATATACTTCAACAATCGATTAATAATAATCTTTATTCTGAGGCAATTTCTGATTGTTTTGATATTCAACACTCAGTTAATTATTTTAAATATAAAACAAGAAAATAAAATTAAAGAAAAACAATTATATTAACTGACAATATAAATTAAAAATATTAAATATTGTCTTTGAATGATTTAAAATTCATATTTTAATGGAATGTTTCATACAATTACGATAATTAATTGTACTATCAATTTATCAAATATTTAATAATAAATTTCGTTAATTGTTTGTATATTTAAATTTCAATTGATATTAACTAATCATCTAATTTGTATAAAGATATGTTTCATTCTTAGAACTATTAAATTATTTTCATTAAAAAAAGAAATAAGTGGCAGTGTGAAAAAAAATTCAGGAGTTAAACATGAAGTAGGCCTTCAATTGCAGCAAGTATGAGCTAAGTATAAAAAAAATTTTGACTTGCAGAGATGATACTAGTAGTTTGTAGTGCAAAATTTCAGTGGATAAATTTTAGATAGAATTCAGATAATAGAATCAAATAAGAATTAGCTCAGCTTTGATTAGGATCTTGGTTCATCCAGCACCTTTTTGAAATAATATCGGTATTTTTTGGCTGCATAGTTCTGTGTCGAGCCCTACTTTCCACGTCACCCGCGCTAAAACGATGCGGAATTTCGTTGATAGCACGGTATGCTTGACTTGGTGCTGATCTTTGTGAGACGGATGATGACGATGAGCTTGAGTTTTTTTCTGATAGAGTGTAATCCAATTTGTCACCTATAAATTTAATCAATTCATTAGTTTAACAGAATTTTCAGTATCAAAAAATTCAAAATTCGTTCACGAGACCATACGCATTTAGAATGAAAAAGAAAAATCAATTTTGGTAAATATTTTATATTTTTATAAACAATTCAAAGCAGACATTTTTTTTTTTGAAAATTAAAATTTTTTTAAAACTTGTCATTTTGTTAGAAGTAGATGTATTGATAATTTTAACGATTGATGACTAGAAAATATTTTATATTCACGGAATGCTTTTGGATTTTTCAATTTTTATGACAAACTGAAGATATCAATTTTTCAAATTTTGTCAGAAAGATAAGAAATACGGAAAAAACGATAAGGACTATTCTTACAGAAAATAAAATTTAAAAATTTAAACCAATGTAAACGAAAAAAATGTTTAATCAAGATCAAGTATGTTTGTTATGCATTTAGATGCACATAATCCAAATCCGAAGTCAGTTTGGCTTGTACAACCTCCAAATTTGAATAAATTTGGTAAAATATGAAATTAGCAAAAAATCGTAAAAAACTAAATTTTCTAAGTGGGTTTGGTCAAAGGTACAGAGCACTTCTTTTTTGTGACCGAGTGTTATTTTAGTAATATTGAAATATACAGCGATCAAAATTGAAGTGTTCATTGATTACTCAAGAGGTATAAGAGAGAAAGGGGTCAAAATTCAAATCGGGGTAAAAACAATAACTTCCCGATTTTTGAAAATTTTCGATTTTCTTAGCGGGAAGTTAAAAAAAAAATTATTATTTAGTTTTAATTCGAATAATAAAAAATTGCTAAACTTTTTTTGGTTCAATTGACCCCCTTCTCTCCCCGACTATCTAATTTGGTATTTTTACGATGTTCTTGAAGTACACAGACGTGTTTATGATCCTATAGTAGTTAGATTCAGTATGAAATCTCTTTCCATTTCAGCTGCTGAATGGTCTTTTTCTTGCCTGCTAAGTGCGGATAAGTTTAAAAGTTAAAAAGTAAAAACTTACCGGTTTGAAAACGTGAACACTCTTGTAATTGTGGAGTACTACCGCTATGAAACAGCGGAAGAGGTTCATAAGGAGGCGGTGGTAAAGAAGACGGTGAAGAATTTGTGGAATGATGGTACTCTTGTTCGCTAACACCCTGAGAAGTACCGATCAACTCAGGATCTAGCCCCAGAATGACTAAAACTTTCTGGGGATTATTTTTCACCCATTCTTCGTGGCTTTGAAGATTGGGAGCTGAATAATTATCATCTGTCTGAGTGCTAGCATCCATGAGCCTTGTAGGTGGACCCCACGACAATTCGTCTGGCAAATAAGACGAGCTCTTTGCTAGCAAACGATCCTCACAACTGCTATGCCCCGTTGGAGTCGGCAAACTCGGATTGCTTCGTGGTGTACGTACCATTAACTGCAGCGCTTTAATTGCGTTTCTCAACTGTGAGTTAATTAGAATAGATTAATAAATTGCATATAATATATATACGTTTTTGATTGTTGCTATTAGTTAAGTTTAATTTGAATCGTAATACTCTATAGCTAACTGAGTAACAAGAACTGTTTTGTGATGTTATTTAATATTAAGTAACATCACTGATTATTGTTTAGTAATATTTATTAAATACATGTGTTTACTTACTTCGTCGCTTAATGTAATAACATCTTCATGCATCGTTGAAACTTGCGTCGCCTCGAGCCGTTCATTCGCATCGCGATTATGATCCTCCAACGATTCTTGAGTAACTACTTGTACTCGATTTCTCAACCCTCCTCTTACAAGTCTTCCAACTCGATCACTTCTATATTCATAATTTTTTTTCGATAAACTATTTTTAATAAATATATTATAAAAAAAAATTAATAATAATAATAATAATCGTTTACAAATTTTTTTTAACAAATTAGACAGCATTCTACTTTGAAACATTATAAAAATCGAATTTTCATTTTTTTAATATTGTTCTAAAGTAAATATGTTCTATAATAATCTCTAAAAATTTTTAATCAATTCATGCAGTTCATAATTATACTTTTTCGTACCTCAAATGTAACTACGTTAGCGGGGTAATAAGTTTTATTTAAGTGAAGAAGTTTCTTCATTCAAAATACAAGAAAAATTTTTTAAAAAGCCAAGTTTTTAATTCAACAATTTCTATACGAAGCGTAAAGTCTTTTTTTGATAGAAAGTTGAAAAAAACCGAGAATTTTTTTACTTAGATTGGATTCTTGACACAAGTCGGTAATATCTTAAACCAATTTTACCGTGAGTCCTAACTAAAAAGAAAAAAAATTTTTGGATAGAGTGTATGTACATCTTGTTTAAAAACAGTAAAGTTGTTCCTTCGAGTAAAATTTTTCTAGAAAAATTTTTACCCATTCAATAATTATAAGAGTAATCCTCTCGAATTGAATATTTTAAAGCAAGAGAGGAATCTTGAAAAAAATATTATTCTTAATTCCAGAAGTTTTTTTCCTTGTAAGTCTTTTAAGGAAATTTTCTACTTTAAAAATTCAAACACATTGAACTTTTTTTTTACATTTTTCGAGGATAAATATATTCGAAAATACTTTTTCAAAATTTGAATTCGATTTAAGTAGTCTAATTATACTTCTTTGCATCTCAAACGTGGGCAGACTAATAAATTTTAAAAAACTTTGAACGCGTTTTTCTCAGAACTACGATTTTACATCGTTTGTTGCTAAATTTCGGAAACTACTGAATCGATTGTTATGAAATTTTAATTACATATTCTGTACAGTTGTATCAATTGAGTAAACTAAAATTATTCAAAAATTTATATTTTTACTACTTTTTTTTTTGCAAAAACCAGTGAAAAAAAAAACATGCAATTTTCTGTCTTTTTTCGTTTATTTGCCGGCGTTCTGTTATATTTTGTGTAAATTAAAAATTCTTATTTAGCCGGTTGTTAGTGATGTATTTAATCCAAAAATTTTCTATTTTCAATGGCCCATTTTTGAAATTTTAACACCAACGCAGACCCACTTACTAATCAAGGCGTGGTATTTAAATTGGGTTTTTGTATGTCAAAAAGGCATAGAATATATAATTAAAATTTTTTTAATGTAATTCAAGAGCGGACTTACTATAAGCCTGACAAACCCTACATCAATATCTTTATTCATAATCTCATTAAAAATTCTCCAAAATAGCGTTTTTCGAGAGGCCAAAGTTAAATGCTGCCTTAAGCTAAAATTTTTTCAATTTTATCTAAAATTTAATTATTTAAAAATTTATTTAATTAAAATTTAATGACATTAAAATTAAGAGACTTTTGAAGAATTTTAGGACTTTTGTACAAAAATTCCTATAAAAAAAATTATTTTTTAAGTTTCGAATGTAAAAATAAAAAAAAAAAAATACAATGGTTGCAATTTTTTAAAAATAACAATTATTTTTTTTCAAATAAAACTAAAAAATTATCATTAATTTGCAAATTTCTAATCTTATAAAAATTATTATCTTTTTTAATTTACAATAAAATAACAAAAAAAAAAAAAATGAATGAATAATTTAATTAATTAACCTGAATTTATGCCGTGGACTAGTAATGTGCATAGGTGATCTATTGGCTGGTGATAACGGGGACGTTTCACCATCTTCTTGAACATTTTCATCATCCTCACTGATGGACGGCAATGTTAATGACGGTACTCCATTCATATCTGACTCTTGCTGTAACAAAAATCTTAATTAAAATCCCATTTTAATTAAAAAAAAAAAAAAAATTACCTCGAATTAATTTTAATTATTTCCGCGCTTTATATTAAAGACCATGACTCGGCACTTAAAATAAAAAATTTTCTGCTTTAAAAAATGCGAAAAAAAAATCGAGTGAATTATAAGGGATTTCCGTAGTCTCTAATTGAGATAAATTTAGTTTCAGAGCATTTTTTAACGTCAGCTACAGTGATAAGGTATAATTTAAATTTAAAAAGCCACAGAAATTTATTGAAGCATCAAACCTCGACTTCGTAGCCTTCACGCAAATTGTGCGTCAGATCGTGAATGATTTCCCGGGCAAATTGATGCTGATACTCCGGATAGAGACGGAGAACATCAATAAGACCTTGTATATGGATACACTTAAGGTAGCAGTATGTTAGGGCTTTCACATCACAACTTGATTTAACAATAACGTCGACGGCGCCTCCTGATCCACCGCCACCTCCATTTGTGCCATGTTGAAGGTGTACATCTATATCACAGCCTACTAGATCACCTTTGCCTGAAAAAAAAATACAATTCATGGAAAGGTCTTCGTCTGTGTAAACAAAGAAAAATAAACATTTTTTGCACGATTCATGATGCGGAAAATTAAATAGTACTCTACAGTGAAAGAATAAATTTCTTTTTAAAAAATGAGTAATGTTATAATAAGAAATTGATTTGTTAAAAATTTTTAATAATTTTATTTTTTAACTGAAGAAATAAGAATTTTTCTCACAGTAACTTTCTTGTTGAAAAAAAGTTTTCTAAATTTGAAAAAAAAAAAAAAAAAACAATTTTGGATGAAAATTTGCAAGTTGTCTATCTAAAATTTTCTTTTTCTAAATCAAAAATCTTTGTTTCAACCAGAAAGTTTTATAATATTTATATTTTTAAACCGATAATCCAATCAAGATTGATTGTACAATTTTTAAAACTTTATTTCGTGTAATACAAACGAGAAAATCATTAAGATAAACTAATAAATTTGTTCCCGTCAAGAAATAGAAAAATGTTCGTAGCCCGTAAGCCCGGAACACGACAAGTGATAAAACATTTATTATTTACGTTGATACTCATTTATTTCCTAGAAGATTTATGTGTAGTAAAATTACAATTTTTGACATTCAATCGAAAAAAAATCAAAATTTAAATTTTTGTAATAATACAATGCAATATTTTTTTTAAAATGCATAAAAAATTCGGCTTTTGGAAATATGATAAATTCAATTTTTAAAAAGTATCAAAAATTGAACTTTTGAAAATTTCAAAAGTTCAATTTTTAGAACTATAACATTTAAGTATTAGAAAGTATCAATATTTTTATTATTTTAAAATTTTGATTTCTTCAATTCAATCTTTTGGAAATATAAAAAATTTATTTTTTAGAATTGGGAAATTTACGATTGTGAAGCCATCAAATCACATTGGAATTGACGTTCAGAATTTAATGAAATTTGGCATATTGGTACTTTATAATATCATAATTAAGCAGTAAAATTTTTGGAAGCCTAGCAAGTCCTGAAAAAAAGATATTAATATCTACATATTTTTGCATTTGTAAGTGGAATACCAATGATCCTTATGGAGAATCACAGACTTTCTTTATTTTATTTCGCAAAACTGGACGTTCAAAATTTATCTCTGTCTCTCTTTCTCCAACGTGATTTAGTATAGGGAAATCTACTATGTTAATCAAATAAGGTTAGGTTTTGAGATTTGAATCTTGTGGTAACGGTAGTACTACCTTAAATAAAACTAAAATTATTATTTAAATATCTAAAATAAGCATTTTTCCCTTAATTGTAGTGCCAATCCGCATTGCCCGAACGGATTACTACCCGGTTTAGGCCCCTCTCTAGGGCAAAGCGGTTTTTGGGAGTGTTTTTCAATTTTAATAATAAATCATAAATTAATACAAATTTATTACAATATTGCTTATTAATTTTAAAGTTCGATAAATTCTCTATCCAAAAAAAAAAATATTATCATTGTTATCATACAAATACTAACTAAATTTTCTCGGCTCTTAACGTTAACATACCCGCTTTAGGCCACCTTCCCCTACAAAACACAATAAATAAATAAACAAATTTCGCTGATCGTGAAATTCGAATCTATTTAGAATTACTTCAAATACTTATCATAATTGACTAGCCATTGCTGAAAAACATATGAAACATTAAAAAGGCACAAATTCAGGTCAGGATATTTCCATTGATACTAAATTAAATTTTAAAACTCATTGTACTATAAAAATACGCCGGAGACAAAATTTTCCTTACTCTCATAATTATAGAGATAACTTTAATAATTTACAATAAAAAATTTTTTCCTTTCCCATTTCACTCTATAAATTATATTAATACAATATATACATTTTATTAAAAATTCAATGAGCATTATAAGTCGTGCACTTTTAAATTTTCACAACTTTATTTTTATTTCTTACCCAAAATAGCGACGACCATTTTATTCTGCTCGACTTCCATAGAGCCGTTGGTTAAATAATAAATGTATGAGAGCGCGTCGCCGCGTCGGACTAGATACTCTTCAGGTGCACAAAAATTGCTTTTTATATGGAGCGACAGTAATTTCCGACATCCCAGCGAGGCGGCTTCAAATATTGGCAAGCTTAATATCTCGCGATGTAAGTGCATTGACACATCACCGCGCAACTCTTCTGGAAATTCCCTCAATGTCTGTGGATTTTTTAATTTCACAAAGAGATTAGTTATCGGTAGAAAATTTTTCAGCTTAGTTTTTATTAAAAATGGATGGTTCTATCGAACTTCGGAGGTGATTCCCGTTAATTTGACTACCCTCATCGCTATACTCGTGGTAGGTTTTGCCCAGTGCAGGGTCCGTGGCTAATCCGCGAATTAACCGCGAAATAGTAAAAAATTTCAAAAATAGGGTTGTGAGTAGTCATTTTACGCGGAATTTCCTCAGCTTAAAAATTTTTGTTACTCACCTCGTGAATATCAATCCCGTGGTTAAGTGACCAAGTAGTTTGAAAGTAATCTTGCATTCTCTGCTTGAGCTGGTCTGGGATTTGATGGAGGGTCAAGAAATCCTTTAAGTTCCGCCACTTGGTACGGTACAGCGACCTCCTAGAGTAAACCCGCTGAATTATTGCAGTCATGTTACCGAACACGACTGCGTGCATCAGAGCTGAAACGTTCAAAGCAGTAAAAGTAAAGTTTTATGAAAGTAAACTTTTATGGTAACGGCAAAAAATAAAATAAAAAAAATTTACCTCCGATCAACATAGCGATTATCGAAAATATTTTCTCGTAGGTGGTGTTTGCCGATACGTTGCCAAAACCAACAGAGGTTAAGCTGCTACAGGTGAAATAGAGCGCTGTGACATAACTTTCAGTCCGCGTTACATTTTGTACAGGTATTTTTAAACGATCGGCTAGTGAATGTAGCCAACCTATCAATTAATTGAACAGTTTATTAGTTAATCTATTTATTCGTTTGTAATCCACTTATATATAAATTTGAAATAAATAGTGACAGTAATTGAACTCACTGAGATTCCATTCTTTATCGTTGTGCCTCCCTTCGCTTTCCGCGATAACATACCAAATACAAGCCAGCCAATGAGCAACCACTGAGAATGCTAGCATCAATAATGCCAATATCACTCCGCTGTACTGAGAGTACCGTTCCATTTTTTGAAATAACCGAGCGAGTCGTAATAGTCGGGTTAATTTAACTAAATGGATATGACTGTGGCCAGACTCCTGTGGAAATTTAAAATAAAAGTTATGGTATTATTATTAAAGTCCTGTTTAAGTTAGCTCTGAAATTGGTTTTCTGGAAAGTTTCAGGGAATTTTAAGACTTTCGTACGCTGAATTCAAATAGCGAATTTTTAATAATTGCATTGAAGGTATTTTGTTAAATTTTTTTTTATTAATCTTTCAGCGAGCTTTGTATTTAGTTTTTGCTATTTGTTTATATTATTATTGTACATTACCCGTAAATATGGATTAAATTTATATATACATTGAGATTCAGAGCCGCGTTAAAAATTCTAAAATAAAATTTAAAAACAAACTAGTAAAAAAAATGATAAAAAAATTATTTAATTTTCTTTAACGCTGTCTGACATATTTTAGTTGTAATCTGATATATTTATAATAATAATAATTATTATTATTTTCGTTATTATTATGATATGGACAGCATAGAAATAGTATAACAAAATATATCTGAAATATATATCATTACAATTATTTATTTTTTTGTTCTTTTAATATTAAAATTGCCAATAAGTTGGCGTTTTATAATTGCTTTGTCGTTATTATTTGACAATAATTAACGTTTAAAGTACTTATATTTTATTTTTTTTTTTAATTTATGATACTCTTAATCGTCCGCTGCCATTAAAATTATTGAAACACCTTAAATGTGTGCATTGCCCAAGCCGTGCCTTTATCACGCTGTTATACTATTTTTAATTAATAGACTTTATTATTTATTTACATTAATTATTAATATACTTCAACAATCGATTAATAATATTTATTCTGAGGCAATTTCTGATTGTTTTGATATTCAACACTCAGTTAATTATTTTAAATATAAAATAATAAAATAAAATCAAAGAAAAACAATTATATTAATTAACAATATAAATTAAAAATACTAAATATTGTCTTTGAATGATTTAAAATTCATATTTTAATGGAATGTTTCATAAAATTACAATAATTAGTTGTACTATCAATTTATCAAATATTTAATAATAAATTTCCTTAATTGTTTGTATATTTAAATTTCAATTGAGATTAACTAATCATCTAATTTGTATAAAGATATGTTTCATTCTTAGAACTATTAAATTATTTTCATTAAAAAAAAAAAAATAACTGGCAGTGTGAAAAAAAATTCAGGAGTTAAACATGAAGTAGGCCTTCAATTGCAATAAGTATGAGCTAAGTATTAAAAAAATTTTAACTTGCGGGGAGGATACTAGTAGTTTGTACTTCAATCAATATTTAAGAATAAATTTAATTTATTATATTTGTATACTTAGACTTTATAATTCATTGAAGAAGATTTATTGAAATTATTTGATTAAATGTTTACTGCTACCTCAATAAAACTTGGCCTCTCGTCTTTTTCGAGTAACTGGTCGTTTAAATGCTCGTAAATTAATCGAGAAACTTTCCATGAAATCATATTCATACCAGGGAAACCATAAATATGAATAACTTACTTCACCACTATAAACATCAAACGCATAGAGCAAGTCAAAAGGCAACGCAGCAAGCAGATCAATAAGAAACCACCTTTTCAAATAATTAATTGCTATTTTACCGCCACTTAGCACTACGTTCCCTTTCTTGCTGACGTAGGTCGTACGAAAATTGAGAAGTATATCTAAAGCACAAATTAAGAAATGAATTAATAATACATAAAAATAAATCGGTCTTATAAATAAAAGAAAAACTTACCGACAATAAAAATAGCCTCGACAATAACATCCGAAACTACGGTGGACCTTTCGGTGCTGACGAAGCTAGCGTTGTAAGGAACCACTACGGCGACATAAATCGTGGCCACCAGAGTGATCCATTCCCAAGTTGTTCTGAATGATCCGTAGTGTCTTACAGTGAAGGATGATTTTTCAGCAGCTGAAGTTTTGTACTCTGGCAGGGGTGTCGCCGACGGGGAATGGAGAAGTGGCTACAGTTTTATTTTTATATTTATTTTTACTCTTGTTTATTCATTTATGGATATTTTTATCGCTTTATTATTCTATTTTTGTTTTTTTTTTTTTTTTTCAATTATTAAAGTGTAAATTTATTTATATGCAATTTGTAAATTATTAATATTAATACTGCGCGTTTTGCTCGCATTTATGTCTACGAGCTGAGAAAAATTATATTAAGTGAAATTATAATGAGATAAATTTTTTTAGAGAATTTGAATTCCAAAATTTAATTTTACAAGTTTAATTTACTCTGTAAACTTTTGTGTTTAAAAATTAAGGGGAATAGCCACTGTGACGGCCGAAAAATTAGGTAATGTTTGAGAATTTTTTTGACTGGGAAAGTAAAAAAATTTGGACATCAGATTTTTTTGTGCTATTAAATGTACATTTAAAATCAATGTTCTAAATTTTCATTACTAAATATCAATTCGTTATAAAGTTATTAACATTCTCCAGCAGAAAAAAAATTTCCCCTCCATCGTTATCTCGAAAACGGATCATCCGAAAAAAAAAATTTTTTTATGTTATATGGCTATCGTTGCACAGCCGATTTTTTTTCATATTTTTGACTTTTTTTGGATTCAAGTAGACTTAAAAAATCTCTAAAATCAAAATTTTCAAAATCGGCTTGGTACAACCTTAGCCACTGTAAAGACAAATAAAACAAAAAAAATTTTGAAAATCGGTTCATATTTGTTTGAGTTATCGATGCGATCAGTATAGTATAAAAAAGTCGTTTTTAGAAAAACACTTCTAAAATTGTTACTAGAAAATCTTATGAAATATTTATACTTAAATCAAACTATCGACTTTTTTATCGGAGCGCTGAGCAAAAATGGCCAGTCTAGCTGCTCTCACTAAAGTGACTATAACTTCGAAAATTTGATCTAAAATTTCATACACATATTTCTTAAGTGTATAAATTTTGATTTAAAGCAAAAAAAATTATTTTTTTCGATTCATAGTGGCTGTCCCCCTTGAAAAATATAAATTTATGCAAAATCTTCATTTGTTTCATGATAAAAGAGGAGCCGCACTTCTAGATAATTACCAAAAAATTTTATTTAAAATGAAAAAAAAAAAAAATTAATAACATCCACTCTAAGAAATTTTTTTGCGTAATAAATAATTTATACAACCTTATTATGCAATTTATGCTTGCCGTCTTGATTGTAATGACCCGAGAGGGTATACAAAATCCCCCGGCTTCTTCTTCGTCCGCCATAATTAGGTGACGGTGCTTCAGGATCAATATCACCGTTTAAATCTAAATAGAAAAATTTTTTGTTATTAAAAAATTTAATATAGTTCATCGAATTAACTCAGTCAGAAAGCAATAGTCACTCTCAATAATCGACACGTGCTCGGTGGAATTCTAAGTGGCTATTTTACTGTTAAGCATTTATGCGTGCGTATAAATAATATGTAATTATAATTAATTAATTAATTAATTAATTAATTCAGAATATATACGTGTGCGTGTATGTGATCGGTGGATATTTTCAATAGTAGAATTCATTACAAGCCCAAAGTAATTTAATTTAAATTTCCAATTCAAATTATCTCTCATCATACTTTGTTACTTTTTAATCACATCACCCAAACCCGCCAAAATTTGTCCGCTTTACGCAACCTGTTACTCTCTTGAAATATTTCATATTAGTTAAAAGATTTTTATTTTCATTACGCTGGAAAAAAATTACTTGATTCATGGAAAATATTCTTGAATATTCAAGACTAGTACACTAGGCTTGAAAACAAGAAGGACCCTACATTGTGCACAAATAAATAAAACGAATGCACAACTGACAATGAAAGTCATATTCAAACAGAAAAATTTGAGATTTTCATACATTAGAAATATACTTTCTTAGTTGCTGTAAGATGGACAGCAGAGTTCTCGGTCCACCTCACTTTCCCCCTCCTCTGCGCATCTGTTAGCATTTCAGGGGAGTAGGAAGTGGTAATTTGTAGTAGGTTAGCAATTAGCTATTTGCTACTTGCTACCCACTATCAATTTGTTATTGTTATTAAGAAATTTGAAATTTTTATACATTAGAAATATACGTTTTTTTTTCTTATTGCTTTTTACTTGTTAATATTTAATATTAAAGGGTCATTCTGCCCGAGTCGAAGTTTCAGCATTACTCTGAACTGAATAAACAGCTAGCCAACGTTTAAAAAAAATAAAAAAGCCATTCGGCAGCCAAATTGGAAGTAGATTTCATGATGGAAAGAATTAAAAACAACTAAAATTATAAAAAAAAAAAATAAATAACGTTCAATAAAGAAAGAGAAGAATTATTATACTTCAGTACTTTTCAGTCAGTTCTGTATAGACAAAACGACTGCAAGAGTAAAATTTCTTAAAAATGATCCTAAGATGGTTTTTTTTTTGCTTTAGAAAAAAATGTGAGCACACAAATTGAAGCTTAATTTCTCAGCTTTCAGATGCATTTTACAGAAATTGAATAACTCGACGCGTTCAAAAGTTATTTAAAGGAAAAGTAGTGAAAGTATCAAATTTTCAAAATTTCAAAATTTTGAACTGGTGTAATTTCTAAACTATTTGACCGATTAAGCTCATATTTGACCTTCCTAATAGTCGATAGAATAAGTATGTTGAGTTTCATTAAAATCCCTTAAGAATTGTTGACGTTATCGTCGTGACAAGCCGCGTTATATCGTATATATATATATATATATATATATATGTCGGAGGACGAGTGCTTTGGGCATTGTTAGAGTCCTTTGGATCATTATCAGCCATCTTTATTTATTTCACAATAATCAAATATAACAAAGACTTTGATTTAAAATATAACGTACACTAACTCGTACAAATAATAAATTTAATTACAAATATTCTACTACGATTGATATAACAGTTAAAGACGTTGGGGAATAAGACCGAGAACGAATCCGGGGTCAGCAGGATGTATGCGATCTTTACTTGATCAATGCTCAACGAGAACTATCCCTCAAAAGTATCCTAAGTACTTCTTCACTTAAAAATATTTCGACAGCCCTCATTGTCTGTCGATATCTTTAACTGTATACTTTTTACTTCTATCCTGTGACCTCGGCTACGTTTGGTGACCATTGTCACTCTGGACTCAAGCCCATCGCCATAACCATAAAAATTATAATCGGCTTAAGTTATAAATAATTATTAAATATTCTATGCTTTACAATTTTGCTTAAAACTAACAGACAAACTGAAATATTGGGAATTTCCTATCTCTGGGAAAACCCAGCTCGATATTATCTCCGACATATATATACATACATACATATATAAACTTTTGAACCATATGTATTTTCTGACTCTGAGTGTCGAGTTAGGTCAAAATATAGTAAAATTAACGGAAAATTATGTCATGAGGACAAATACAATAGTTGAATTTTTATGAAATCTACTAAAAAGCGGATATTTATGGTTTGTACGTTATAAAAAAAATTTTTTTGAATTTTTTTATGTTTTTCAAAAGTACATATAAGGTAAAAGCCCCAATAGATGCTCATGTACCATTATATGATCACTTCATGTATTTGTATGTCTATATTTGTGAAGGACATTCATAAAAAGAGTTGACAAAGTTTTTTAAATTGTCATTATCAAAGTACTCAATAATCATCAAAATAACTTCATAAGGCAGCGGAATAACTTTCTTGAGCTGTGGAATATTTTGAACTTTCTCCATAATCTTCCTTCGCTTATAAGCGTCCTGAATTTTACCAAACATTGCATGAAAAAGCCAGAAGCGATTATACTGTTTCCCGAAATTGCTTCTAAAGAAGTCAATGTAATCTTGAATACTTTTATCATTTTTTACCAACATTTTCAAACTTCTCTTGTTAAAAACTTTAATCACAAGATCATAAACAGTCATACTATCACTGTAAGGTATAATTTTAGAAGTATTAATAATATCTTCCTGAATGTCTTCCACAAGCTTTCTAATTTCCGTATCTTTAGCAATTAGTTGATCCATTAATTTTATATCTTCTTCATGAATAAAGATTCCAAATTCACGTCACAGGGTATAAGTCTCTAGGATTAACTTAATACACCGATTTCTTTCTATTTCAAACGTTCTTTCGTCATCAGAGTCTTCAACAAACTTTTCAGGATCAACTGGAAGCATACAATAGTGTAAAGGTCTACCTTCAGCAGGATAAGGATAAAGAAGTTTCAAAAAGCGCTCCAACGTCTCGTACTCGCATCTGTAGGCCACTTTGTTGAGTAAGAGAGTGTCTGGATCATGATCAATAATTGCATTGATATCTGCTCCAGCTTCTGTCAACTCCCATAGAAGGTGGGAAATGTGACCTGTTCTTGCGTACCGAAATTTCCCAAATTTTTCATTTGGCAGCAAATAGTGAACAGCATGACGTCCGTAATCGTCTCTAGCATTGAGAAATTTCGGTCTGCACTTATTGCCCCATTCTTCAGTAAACAGATTTAAATGTTTCATTGATGCTCTTTTAGGAGCATACATCAGCAGTGTTTTGTTATTTTTTCCGGTAATTTCAACGTTGACTTTGTATCGAAGTAAAGTTCTCAAAATACAGAAATTTACGTTAATGCTCCCTGAATAAAAAAAAGTATTAAGACAAAGAAAAAAGTATTGAAAAGTATTGGTTTTCTAGTCAATCCAATACTTTTCAATACTTTTTTCTTTGTCTCAATACTTTTTTTTTTATCAGGGCTATAGAAAACGAAGATTGTCATCTTACTAAACTCATCAGACCATTTCCAATCCTTTGAAGATTCGTATTTTTCAACGAGTTCTTTCGTAAACTCGGCATTAGCATCAGCACCAGATTTTAATAACATTTCAGGGTCAAAAGTGTTGTTTTCTAAATAAAAGCCAGATGAATTGGCTGAGCACCATCAGCACCGACGAAATTCACATTTGCTCTGTAGGTTTTTATCCATTTCTCGAATATTTCCATATTAAATGTATGATTTCCACTTAATATTGCGAAATGTAGAGCAGTGTACCCCGCTTGAGGTCCAGTTTTTCTTAAACTGGCATTTATATCTCCACCTTTGGCTACAAATTGGTCAGTTACATTCCAATCCTCTTTGTTCACTGCTTCTATCATGTTGACAGATTTTGTATGCATTTTTGGCATGGTAGTATTCTAGAACAATATTTTTTAATTAATAAATTAAAGATTTATAATTAAAAACAATAATTTTTTTTGTTTGAGTTTAATCTTGACCCAAGTGTTTCAGGAAATTTTTCTAACCTAGAAATAAATTTATCAAAATTAATACACTTATTCATAATCAAAAAATAAAATTATAATCTTACCTGACTCCAAGAAAATCGTAGACACAAAATTAATTAATTTAATGAAATAGAAATTGCTGTTTTAGTTGTAATAAATTAATTGCTAAACTCTGAATCTAATGCATGTGTCAACAAACTTTATTATTATTCTGGCATATGTTGCGCGCGCAAGCGCACGTCTGAACGGTGATATGAATTTATTTTTTTTTATGTTTAAGTATGATATATTTGACCCAATCACCCCACGAATAGTTTGCTTAAATGATATAAGTATTAGTTCGAAAGGAAAATTTTAGTAAAATTCTTTAGACAAAAATAAATCTCTATAATTTTTAGAAAACTTTTGATTATTAAGGACAAAGAACACAATATTTTAATGAAATTAATCGTTTTTTCTTAAAGTAGATTCAACTTTTATTCAAAGTACATAAAAATACAAATGAACTTACACCTAAATTTAATTTTAAATCAAAAATATTATCATTTTTTTATTAAGTAAACTTAATTTTTATTCAAAGTACAAAAAAATACGAATGAACTTACAACTAAATTTGATTTCAAATTGATAACATTATCAAGAAATATATATAGATGAACTGATTGTAATTTATTCGCAAATGGGACACTCATAGAAAGAGTTGACAAAGTTTTTTAAATAATCATTATTAAAATACTCAACAATCATCAAAATTATTTCATAAGGCAGAGGAATAACTTTCTTGAGCTGAGAAATATTCTGAACTTTTTCCATAATCTTTCTTCGCTTATAAGCCTCCTGAATTCTACTATACATTGCATTAAAAAGCCAAAATTTATCATACTTGTTTCGGAAATTGCTTAAAAAGAAGTTATCGTAGTCTTCAACAAGTTTATCATTTTTTACCAACAATTTCAAACTTCTCTTGTTAAAAATCTTAATCACAAGATCATAAAAAGTCATACTGTCACTGAAAGGTATAATCAAGCAAGAATTAATAAAATCTCCCTGGAAGTCTTCCACAATTCTTTTAACTTTCGTCTCTTTAGCAATTAGTTGGTCCATTAATTTTATTTCTTCTTCAGGAACAACGAATCCAAATTCACGTCTCAGGGTATAGTTCTCCAGAATTAACTTAAGACAATCATTTCTTGTCTTTTCTATCTCACTTCTGTCATCGGAGTCCTCAACAAACTTTTCAGGATCAACTGGAATCATAAAATAGTGCAAAGGTCTACCTTCAGCCGGAAAAGGATATCTAAGTTGCAACAAGTTCTCCAACGCAAAGTAGTCGCATCTGTAGGCTACTTTGTTGAGTAAGAGAGTGTCTGGATCATTATCAATCATTGCATTGATATCTGCTCCAGCTCTTCTCAACTCCCATACAACGGAGGATATGTAAGTATTTTTCAAATACCGAAATTCCCCGAATTTTTTATTTGGCAGCAAATAGTGAACAGCATGACGTCCATAATCATCTCTGGCATTGAGGAATTCCGGTTTGCACTTGGTACGATCTTGAGTAAAGAGACTTAAATACTTCATGCATGCTATTTGAGCACCATACATGAACAATGTCTTGTTATTTCTCCCGATAATTACAATGTTGGCTTTGTATTTAACTAAACAGCTTAAAATCCAGAAAATATTGTTAATGGTACAGAACACAAAGAGGGTCATCTTACCAAACTCATCAGACCATTTCCAATCCCTAAAAGATAGGTATTTTTCAACGAGTTCTTTAGTAAATTCAGCATTAACATCAGCACCAGAGTCCAATAAAATTTCAGCATTTTCAAAATTGTTACTTAAACAAGTCAGATGAATTGGCTGAGCACCATCAGCACCCACACAGTTTACGTTTGCTCCGTAGGTTTTTATCAATTTCTTCACGCATTCAGAATTTCCATTAAATGTATGATTTCCATTTAAGATTGCGAAATGTAGAGCAGTGTACCCAGCCTGAGGTCCAGTTTTCTTCAAACTGGCATTGATATCTCCACCTTTGGCTACAAATTGGTCAATTACATTCCAATCCTCTTTGTTCACTGCTTCTATCATGTTGACAGATTTTGTATGCATTTTTGGCATGCTAGTATTCTAGAACAATATTTTTTAATTAATAAATTGAAGATTAATAATTAAAAACAATAATAACCTTGTTTATTCAAGATTAATATTGACCTACGTGTTTCAGAAATTTTGTCTAACCTCGAAATAAATTTATTAAAAATTAATACACTTGTTCATTATAAAAAAAAAAATTATAATCTTACCTGACTCCAAGGTAATTCTAGTCAAAAAATTTATCAATTTAATATAATGTTGATTGCTGTTTTAGTTTTAATAAATTAATTGCTTAATTGAATCCAACAAATCCGTCAACTTACTCTTTTATAATGGAGATTCTACAGTAAGTGTATATATATTCTTAAGGCCATTCTCAGAGGGTACCCCTCTCTTTGTAAAAATATTTTTCGCCGCCTAGCGGTCAATAAAAGTACTAAAAAACCCTAGATTTTTCAAAATTTTAAATGAAATTTAAGATGGTATAAATGGTATATTTAAATAATATTATAGTTTCAAAATAATTAAAAAAAATAAATATTTATTTTAAAATAGTTTTTAATAAAAAAAAAAAATGGTAAAATGTGCTGTAAAAAAATAGTATTCTAATCGTGTTCGGAATGTCATTGACATAAAATATTTTAATAGAAAATAACTTAATAATCAGGTCATTAGATAAAAAAAAGTAAACGTAGTTATAATTTTAATAACCTATAGAATATATAAAAAATTACTTAACATTTCAAATAAATCGTAGTCAATCGTAATCTTGTAAAAAAAAATCTGAGATGAATCTAGTGGGTTATTTAATTTGACATATGTAAACAATAAACATGTATATCAGCAAACGTAAGTGTAGTAATTGAACAGCTACATTCGCGTTGTTATCAATTATAGAAATAATCAAATTAATCAGACTCGAAGTCAATATAAGGAATTTATACTATCGAAGACCGTAATTTTTAATGAAATTTTCAGATTGTGTTACATAAGGTCGTATAATTTTTTTTTTTTGTTTTTTTTTTTTAAATCAACGTAAGTTTGCTTAGAACTTTAAGAAATTGAAAATAAAAAAATTAGAAAAACGGTTCACCCTAAAGGCCATCCGTGCAACTTCCCGCTAATTCCATTCCTGGGTGCTTAAAATTGTACTTATGACATATTTTTGAGATTTTTAAGCTCAAAATAATTAATTAATTTATTAATTAATTAATTTATTTATTTAATTATTTAATTAATTAATTTATTTATTTATTAATTAATTTATGTGATATTTTGAGCTCGCTGAGTTCCAAGAAATAATATTTCAATGCATTTGAGCTCTCCCAGCTCAAAAGTCGGATAGAATTTTCATAGAACACTAATGACCCTTTAAAATTGAAAACAAGTAGTCCTTATTATTATCAAATTCAAGGTCAACTACATATTACTAAAAGAAAATGGTGTATTTTATCAATTTGGACTCCCAAAGCTTCTCATAATTTAAATATTTTGTACAATAAAAATTTTTGGGAAATAAAAATGCTTCCTCGCTTAACTGAGTTTTATTGGAAGTATTTAGTACCTGAATTATTAAATCCAAAATTATTGTATAAGACCAAAAATTCTGATGTGCCAAATGAAAAACCCCAGGAACCCCCGAAAGTTTACAAAAAGATAAATGATCCATTACAGCAATTTTTTTACGGAAAAAAAAAGTTAGAACAATGGTTTTCGTTAACTCCAATTGTTCGTCTTCGTACAAAAAAACAAGTCATCAATGATAATAATAACAACAATGACAGTTCCATCGGAGTAAGTGTAGTAAATAATGATAGCGGCAACACAAGGGTAAATGATAAAGACGTCAACTTCTACACTAACGTTGATGATGATAATGATGATGATAATAATAATGATAATGATGATGATTATGATTTCAGCAACTTATTTGATGATTATGATTGTGGTGAAAGTTTATCATTTGATGAACTAGTGAATGACTTCTTTGATAATATTAATGATGACGATGATGAATAATTAGTATATTACATATCGAGGAAGAAAAATAAAACATTTTATCTTGCGTGTAAAATGTGTCACGAGCCGAAGGCGAAAATAATAAACACATAATTAGTTTAAAAATGTATTATTATGTTGATAATTAAAATGCTAATTTAATTAATTGTCTTAGATCATAAATAATTATTTTTAAAAAATTTATTAAAGTAATTTAATAAAATCGTTATCTAAGAATTCATATATTTGTCTAAAACATGCAGAATTAAGAAAAAAAAAAAAAAAGAATTTTTTTCTCAGAAATTTAATTTTCTCCTTGGAAGAAAAAAGTGAATTTTTTGGACAAAAAAAAATTCTTCATTTTAACTAACAATTTTTTCTCACAAATAATGTTAATGAAGCATTATAGCTTATTCATCAATTATATACAGAAAAAAAAAGGTTCACTTGACCCAAGAAAACATTTTTCTTCCTAATTATTTTCTTGAGCGAAAA